TGGCACCCCAGCATACATGTAAGCATCAATGATTGTTGCTTCATAACTGTCCAGGATTTTTGCCACATCTTGGTACTTTTGCTCATTACTGTGCAGTACGGGCAATGGAATTACCTTGTTGATGAAACACAACAATTTAGAATGCTGACCAACTATTTTCTTTTGCAGTCCGTCATTGAGAAATGCTAATGCTGGAATATGCTTTGCAGCCACACGTGAGATCAAAACCAAGTAGTCACTCTTGAGGTGTTTCCAGTCGTCTACTGGGTGTGAAGGGATCTACTGACACATCTCTGTAATCGGCCTGTGGTCTCGCAGCAGACAGATCCTCAAATGACACATTCTGGACAATGACTGATAGCTAAATAAGTGTGCTGGGACTAAAAGTAAAAGGAAGTCTACATAAACGACAATAAATATAATAATTAACATACTCATAAATAATAGATGTATTACAGATAGAGATAGAATGTAATTAAAAATGAATAAATGCTGAATGTTGTAATTATACTGTAACATACCCCCTTTCTTTACTTATCATTTCCCTTTTTGTCATGTTTCCCTTGCTTGACCCCCTTGGGTTATGTCGCAATAACCCCTCCGGCCGTTACCACCGGTCTAAGTAGCCCGACCAGGCTGTGTGACTAACGTCAATATACACATCTTGATGTATGACCGTTTCTTGGAGCTACGGTCTAAGATACAATCGCTGGATTGTGAATTCGGCTGAACCGCCGTGTGGTGTGCAGTGCGAACGAGGAAGACATAGATCAACAATGAAGATGAATTACTTTATGCATCGGTCATTCAACTAATGCGTTTAATCAACGAATAACGTCAGACTAATACACTTACATATATACGTGGATCGGCTCTATACGATAGGTAGATTCGTAACACAATAAGAACGTGACACAGTAAAGAGCCGGCTTAAAGCACATCAGGGATGAGTACCACCGAGAGAGAGCGCCAAGAGAGGGAGAGAAATCGCTAAGCTTCCTTATATACGATCACGGCTCAGTTACTCCTGATTGGTCAAACTGTGGATTGAAATAGCGTTATTCCGCGATTGGCTAGAACAAAGTACAATTAGCCATTCTGATTGAAGGCTATACCTAGCTAACACGGTTACGTAGTCACTACGTAGTTACAACGTAGTGGTTTGGTAGATGTTACGTAGTTTTTTTACGTAGTTATTACGTAAAATTCTGGACTACCAGCAACGTTTTTACTACGTAGTGACATTACGTAGGGAATTACGTATCCACCACCTTCATACTACCTTATGGGCACCTTCCCACTACCTTACGGGCACTTTCTCACCACCTGTATGGGCTAATTTTCCCATCCTTTCTGGTTCCTTACAAAACCCCAGTAATTGTATGTATAAAAACATGCAAGAAGCAAAAATATTTTGCATGGTTCATATATTTATTTCAACAGAAACAATACCGTAGTTACATAAGCCAGGTTAGGTTACAAGTAAAAGTATAGAACAGCATAGAACAGCAAACAGTATCATATATATATATATTCATATGCAGATAAAAATCTGCTGCATATACCCTTACCTGTGAAGATCACAATTGTCATTTTTATTATTTTTCATGATAAATATTTTTTCAATATTGGAAAATCTGGATTAAAAACATGGATGGCGTTCCATACATACGTGCCAACCATTAATTTGGTTCTGGCTCTAGAAAATTCAAAAAAAGAAATTTGGCAGTGAAAGAGCTAGCAGCCGTCTCTGGTGTCAGAATCTGATGAGTCATGAATCTGATGAGTAATTGTTCCTGTAGCCGTCTCCTTGGTTGTTGCACCCACAGAAACACGGGCCTGCAAATATAATTATAATCGATGGTAAATTGGGAAATCCTTTTTTTACATTATATCATGGGCAAAATAATTGATGTATANGCAATTTTGTTCACAGTTTTTCTATAGATGATCCCGATTTTACTAAGATTATATCGTCCACGAATGAACTGAACGAGATTATAAGCGGTGGCTTTGCACCAGACTATATCAGCGCTCTGAAATACTTCCCGCGGACCACCTCACAGAAACGCTTTATGGAACTGTGTGACGAGTTTATAAAGAGAGGGCGGGAAGAATATCAGCATCACAAAGACACGTTCACACGCAGTAAGCTGTCTGGACATTTGCTATGTTTGGAATCAAGCGCAGGAACATATCTATTAGAGATGGCGGGGAGAGTATCAGCATTACAAATATATTACGTTTACACGCAGTAAGCTATTCGGATGTTTGCTATGTTCAGAATAAAGCGCAGAAACATTTCTAGTGATGCCATTAAATCACGATTCAGTGTCTATTATATATAAATAGGTGCGCCTACAGGCGGTATTCGTGTGGAATCACTCATGTCTAATGAATTGCTTAATTTTCTTAGATGACATTCGAGATCTGTGTGATGACCTAATTCTTGCGCATCAGGATATGCCGGAAGAAGAACGTGATATCCTTACTGAAACCCATATTGTGCAGACATTAATGGACATATTTGGAGGTACGTAAGAGTAACACGAACCTACTTTACGAAAACCCGAGTATACTCTAATGATCTACATATCATTTTACAGAACAATAATCTGGTTATTAATTCACCTATACTCATCACTTCTTTATTCTAATTAAATGGCAAACAACAATGAAAACTTGCATTAATTATTTGTATTTCTAAAAGAAACCAAGCGTAACAGTACCTTAAAATAAACATGAAAAAATACTGAACCCCGTTAGATTTCCTTGATTCGGGTCTTAATTAACCTGTCATTTGGTAAACCAAATGTAAATGGGCTATCGATATTAATCATAAATCACATAAAACCGAGATTCCATACTAAAAATAACAATATTGCTTCCAATTATGGAATTTTACCGTAAATACATATTTTACATACTAGATTTGTTTTGTCGCGATGAAATGCGGTGACAACATTAATTTTATACGTTTCATCACTAAGCTGGGACGGATACAACATCAATGACATTACTGTGGACCATAAAGTTCATGATGGCGTACCCAGAGATTCAGAAAAAGGGACAAGAGGAAATTGACCATGTTATTGGTATGTCTAGTTTGAACTATTTTGATGATTGATTTTATATCGGAGAAGACAAAATTAATATCAATATATAGATATGAGCGATCATTTTTATTGATAGCCTAAGGTATTATTTTAGATTACTTTTTGTCATTAAGATGTGAGCAATGCATTTTAAAATCGTGCGATAGGCATTTATCAGGTCATTGAACGTAGCTATACTTGTAGGTCAAGATCGTCTAGTTAACTTTCACGACAAACAAAATCTGCCATACTGCGACGCCATCCTGCATGAGGTCATGCGACATCGACTACCTGCCCCCATTGCCCTACCTCACTGCGCGACCATAGACACGACAGTTGGTAAGCCATTTATCTATACTATAATTTGGCTAATCTTGTGTGTGTGTGTGTGTGTGTGTGTGTGTGTGTGTGTGTGTGTGTGTGTGTGTGTG